TATATATATATAACAGAAAAAAACAAATAAACAAACAAAAATGACTTGTTGTGGTAGCTCAGCAAGTTTGAGCGAGTAGGTTTTGGACAAAGAGTGTTTAAATTTTTACAAAATAAACAGTAACACGCTGACTGCACTGATACAGATTTACAGAGGCAGCTTCTACAGGATAATAAATTGTGTTCTCCCTGCAGGAATTTCTGTAGATTTAAATTGCTTGTTCGATAACGTCCTGAAGGAGTGTTTCCAGAATTCACTGTTGTGTATTGACTGAACAAACTGACTCAAACTAATCCAATAGATGCCATTTATGAGCCTCTTTCTAATTTGTCTATTGTCATTTTGCGTTAGAAACATAAACTTAAACACACCTTTCAGAAGGATTGCCAAAACCCAGCTCCCATCACTGCCGTGGTGTAACTTTCCCACCGGCGCCAGCATCAGTAACAATTTAAACTAACTCGATTTTGCAGGCTGCTGCTCTCAACAACTGTGGCAATAAAGTAAATCTGCATCCTAATTCATGATCTCCAGCTTGATTAATGACATGCTATAAATTCAATTCCTCGTAATTTAGGGCTGCTGGTAACTATCCTCGAACATCATTTTACACTCACTGCAAAAGGAGTAAATGAATCAATAAGGAAATAAATCTTAAATTAACAGAATCTTATTAACAAGATTCTTTTAATTTACAATTAAGTGAATCTCATTATCAATTCCCCCATTTGCTTTCCTCTGCGTCCGGGGCAGAAAACGATTTTACCTCTGTGATGGCGAGCCCTAACGCTCAGTGTTATTGCACTCAGGAGGACTTGTAGCCCAGGAAGAAAAAAAAGAAGAAGAAAGAATAGTGCCGCCATTAATTTGCCATCTCCAGAAAAGGGCATCAGTGATCTGTGAAATCACTTTGTGCGTTTGAGATGGTTGCACTTTCTGTTCATTTACGTCTGATAATTACTTTGATTATGTGAATCTCCCAGTCTGGCTGTCCCCGTTTTGGTGTCTGCAGTATGTCAAGGTGCTACGTTCCCCCTGACCTGTGCTGTCTGTCTGATGCTGCGTCTGAGCTTAAACAGCCTCGGTGTTAAAGGAGCACGTAAAAAATAAAAACAGAGAACAAGAGCCGGGATGCTGCCGCTTTCAAATGAGTCACAGTTTTGTTTGCTGCCATCCATGAAATAATCTGTCAATGGGGTGGGAGATGTGAAGCGCTCCCATTGATTCGATTTTTTATTGTCAGAGTTCAGTTCTGCTCATGTGGTTTTATTGCACTATGGGATGTCTGTGGCACAGCTCTGTTGTCTGTTGTTTTTCAGATCTGGTTCTGTGTGGGAAGCTGTGGATTCCTGTACAGTAACTCTTGTTTGGCTGCAGGATTCAAGTTTCACAGCTGCTACAGTTGTGGCAGAAGCAGTGTGTTAACCTGGGCCTGAAATTGGGCACCTGTTTATATATATATATAT